TTATCGCGGAATATGCACTTCGGTCTCCCCCCCCCCCCCCCCGATATACCGTTAATAAAATAGAACACGACGGGATTCGAAATTCTTTTGGTAATTCTGTTTATTCCGTGTGACGGGAAACTCCATTAGACCCCAGAGTATTCGTTCCGAAGATTAATCCTTGATTTCTATGTTGCTCGCTATACGTCGACCTGTACAGTCATTTTTTTTATGAAAATGAATGAATTGTTTTCTAGGTAACTTTCGAAAAGTCATCGAAATGCACCAGCAGAACACGGTGGATGCACAACCGACTAGAATATAATAAATTATTTGAAAAGTATAGGGGTTGGCAAGAAAGTAATTTCGGTATTTGAATGTGCAATAAAACTCAATTTTTTCTATACAAGAAATGAACTTTAATCATTGAAATATTTTCCATTCTGTTCAATGACCTTTTGCCATCTTTCTGGTAACTTCATGTGTGTGATTCCGCGCTCCTTATCAAATCCATCAAGTGCGATTCGAGGTTATCGTTATTATTGAAATTTTTGCCATTTTTGTAAACTTCGAAATAAATTATAATCTGATGGAGCAAGGTCGGGGCTATATAGAGGATGCGACATCACTTCCCAATCAAGATCGAATTTAATATGGCCTAAATATTATATATATATATTAATATTATAAATTATTATAATAAATAATATATAATAATGTAATAACATATATATATTAATATGGCCTCTTAATGGCACTCTGTTCAAAACAGATGACCAGATTTACTTACGAACCTGTAAAGTTGGCCGAGATTATAATGAGCGTTCACGTGTCCTGGTTGGGCGTCTATCGCTGCCAAAAAGTGTTGCTCCGCTTGGTCACCCACTGTGAGTGTGCCTAGGTTGTTATGCGCACTGGCGTACGTTGGCCATAGCCTGCAACAAATAAACACCGTTTATTTGCAAAGTGATTAATGATACCGGATACTAGCCATATGATAGTACAATTTATCACCAAGATTACATTGTTCCGCGTTAATGTAATTATACGTTGTAACGGTGACTGTCGCATTGACATGCCGCCTTCATGTTTTCCCATAAATATTATGATTTATTAAATATAATAATAATAACAATCGATATGCGCTCCAATAAGAATTCTAATTCAGAGCTTACTTCAAAGACGTCTTTCAAAGACAATGACTTCGGACAGAGACAGCGCATAATTTATACGACATAAGCTCTAGACACATTATGCCATCTTTGTTAGAATCGCGATCGTTTCCTTCGTATGGCGTGTACCTTAGATCGATATTCTATGTTCTGTGATTACTTAATTGTCTTCTTTGAAACTCGCGTATTCCTAACTGCACTATATCGTGGAGCCTTTTAATCTATGGTCGTGGCTGTAATTTTCGAAAGCCCTCGAGTGTTCTATAGGCTACAATTACTTTAATAATCGATTCTGCCCATAACGTTTCTAAAGTGATTCAAAGATTCTAATAAGTGTTCGCATGCGCAAAAGGAAGTCGAACGAAAGCGTTAAAACGGTCAAAAAAGAATCGTACTAAGCTCTACCAATCTCTGTTGCACGAGTTGCTATCTTTGTACGTGTCTCCAGATTTTAATCCACTTGAAACCTGTCAGTTATATCGAATCCTTCAGAGTTCCTTTGCTAAATTAACGCGATTACTTGCAGTTACCGAATATCTAAAACCACGAGTGTTTATCTATACGCAAAGGGGTACCATGCCGGCAACCATATTCGCGCAATTACATCTTCACCCTACTGTAACTTATTCGAATACAATATCGTCTTCCCATACCACCGCTTCGCAAGCACTCTTGTCTATCGATTAATAATGCGGGCGCTATGCAAAATGACATAATGTACGCGATTGTATCACGTTTGGAACACTGGGTACAATCACGGGTCACCGTTCCGGGCATACTGGCGTTCAAAGCGCGGCGCGTCCGTCGTTCGGCGTGATAACTTCTGAATAGCGTGAATACACTATTTTCGGCGGAGTATTGTCGCGCCGAGTTAATTAACCCCATTGCGTGCGAATGCTCGCGCGCGTCGAAAATACGGATAGCTAACGAGCCGCGACTATCAGCCGGGGTCAATAAGGGGTCGCGTCGCTGTCGCGAGCGTCCGCCGCGCGGTTTCCGGCACGGTGGAATTGCCGCTGCCACTTTCCGCGAGAAAACTGACGAGGCCGGCTGGCGACGCGCTATGAAGCTTCTGACAGAGACAAACCGTCGGGACGAGTGCCGTTCCGCTGAAACTTTGCGGACGAGGATTTTAGGATTACGTACGTACACGCGTCGCCCTGGCAAAATAAAAACACGAACGCGCCGGGACCGGGTAAATTATTTAATTTCCACGGAAGAGATACGCGAGGTGTGAACAAAAACTTGCTGGAAGGAATTTTTGTCTCCCGTCTCAGCAATGTTGCAACTGTTTATGCGATTTAAATGTATAAAGTATAGTTTTTTGTAGCGAAGAAGAGTTTGTAAGAACGCGAGACTTTTTTTACTTCTTTTGTCGTTTCAAATAGGAGCAAAATTAAGAAAAAGCATTTCAGTTATTGTCTCGTGGATTAGTCCCACTATCATCCGTCATCATCAGCAAGTTATTGCTTTCTAAAAGGTGTTCGAACGTATAACATATATAACTAGTTTCTTTCGTTTCCTAAAGCTGTCGTTGGTAAATCGTCATTTTTCACAAAAAGCGCTTCCATCGGTTCAATTTTGCTCCTCGCTGCATCGCGAAAGTTTCACGCTGTTGCTTCGACTGGTGGCGGTTAGTAAGTTCGATTTTCTCAGAGAAAAAAGAGCATGCCTAACGATCGCTTTGCGAGTACTTACCGCGACAATTTTCGTCCCCGGTTTAAGTCCCGTTACCGTGGCCCGGCCAAGACCAATTTAGAAAGTAAAGCAGTTAGCGAGAATGTATTATGCCGGAAGGTCGCGCTGACAAAAGTTTCGTAACTTCGGCCGGGAAATGTAAATTCTGACAGTGATTCTTCGGAGCGGCACAATTTGAGGCGGCATCGCGTGGGGATTAAGCAGCTAGATTATATTTCCGCGAAGAGCACCCCGCGGGATCCGGGGAAATTGATTTTTCAGCAGCAGTGAATTTTTGAAACTGGATTAAGCTTACCCACCGTGGGACATCGAAAGAAGTGGAAAGAAGTTTCCGCGTGGAACGCAGCTTTTACGTCCGTTGCGTAGACGCGAGATTTTATCGTCTACGAACTTGTTGTATGGTGGTGCATTGATTGAGCGTTAACAGCTGTTCGCGCGCGTTCGCTGTTCTATTTCGGTGTCGGATATGGTTTTGTATCGATGCTTTCGAAAATGCATTTATTTTCAAATCAATTCTGTTCGCGTTTGTATTCTAAACCGGTCGATGTTTCAACTTTGTATTACTGCCACCGCTACTAATAAACTTTGATTTTGTGTTACAAGTATTCTATACATATAATAACATTTATTCAAATTTTAATCGCGCCCAAATCGAGAATTTTGTTCAACATTTTATTTCGCCTATTTCTTCATTTTTCAGTAAATAAAACGACCATGTTGCTCAAGCATTAAATAAAAGTGAAACAAAATCAATCGGCAATATTATCCCAGATTCTTGAATTTCGTGGATCACTCGAAGGGTTAACCATACGCTGTTTGTTTAATGTTGCCGGGCATCGGCGGCGCAAGGACTATCCGTCAGCGGACATTGAATTAAAACGTTCCTCGTCGACGACGCATGATTACAAAGCAAACTCGCGGGTCCCGGGAGACCGGTCCAAAATGGGAGCTCTTTAAATCACCGGCACGACTCCCCAAGATTCAAACGATTTGCCTCGCACACACCGGAGGGCCGACATGAAACTTCTGCTCCGCGGTGTACGTCTAAATTGCTTCTAAGCATGAAACTCCGTACTTAATAAAATGTCACTCGCACCCTTTCGAGCCGCCTGCCACCGTAGTCAGCTACAGGGCCGTGCCACCCATGCGGCGGAGACGAAATTTACGTATTCCGAATCCGCTGTTTCGCTCCGGAACAGAGAGATCCGCCCGACGAGATGTTTGTATTAACGCGTTTGTAATCCGAGGTCTACGTTATTTCGGCTTCATCAACCGTGTTGCTATTGTATTACACGAAACTCCCGAACGGTGTAACTTGAATCGACGAATGTAAATGAGCTTTGCTCGGGCCAGATGAAAACTAACGACGCATTGTTTTACTATCCGCCTAGCGTAGGCGGATTGCATTACAGACCGGCGCAATCTACTCATAGGGCGGGTTTATTCTTATAGAGACGGATTTATTCTTAATTCGTTTGAAATTCTGACGTTGGAAACGTACAGTGCGAAAAAAATGTTGTATCGTATTTTGTTTTATAGGGAAACGGTTGCAGCTATATCGCACGCTTGCTTTTTCTGAAGTGAAGTAAACAATTTAGCAACGATTTAGTAGCATTTTAGCTAAGGAAAAAGTTACTTCAAACGACTCCAAGAACCGTCCATTTTCGGATCACGAGACATTTTTGGGACATCCTCTAGAATTGGTCAAATTTGACCGTGGTAAGATCGATGCTAACAGCAGTCGCGGCTACATCCGTTCAGATATTTATTTGTCTCCTTTGAAAATCTAATTTCTAACATATTTCATTCAAATCTGCGTTATTAAACTTATCAAATCTAAGCGAAGTAGCGAACAGTTTAAGTTGGCGGCAAGATGATAAGAAGTTACACGTGTGGCACGTTTCTAATCTTACTTTAAAGGGAGATCAACTACTTTCGCACCTTGGTGCAAAACTGTAAATCGTTTTTAAAAGAAAAATTTTCGGCAGTTCTTACTGCCTCACCCGATATATCAAAGAACGTCAAAGCCAAGAAATTGAATTTTGGTCGTGGAGACCAGCTTTCCAGGTCACCGTACGGTTTTAATGTCTTAGAATCGAGTTTCTGGATACAGTTGGTCATCCGTCCGGGAAACTGGCGGACGGTCAATTAAATCTCGACGCATCCCAGTGTCGGTCGCGACGAGGAAAGAGGGGCTCGATGGAGCCCGAATAAATTGTTTCGCGTGCAGGACATCGATAAATCCCGGCCGTGTCAAAAAATATGTTCTCCGAACGAAATATTTCATCGGGAATCAATATTGTTCCCGGGCAACTTAAACATAGACGAAACATTTCGGGGCGCGGATGCGATGGATAGACGGAGCGCGACGGTAGCGAGAGAGCGGGAAAGGAAGAGGATGCGAGTAAGACGGAGAAAGAGAGAGGAGATGGGTGAGGGCGATGGAGAGAAATTGGAGAGGGAGAGCGGAAGAGAGAGAGAGAGAGAGAGAGAGAGAGAAAGGAAGAAAAAAGCAAAAAGGATGCGCGATCCATCCCGAGCGCGTCGAATAAAACGGATTCGCCGCGGGAGCGTGAACATGCATCACGGAGACACGGTAGAACGCCAGGCCGCGGATTATACTTTTCTTTCTCGTCACCGGCGATCCACTCGCGTCGGATTTCGTTCTGTCCCCTTTTATCCGGTTCCTTCATGCCGGCTTGCAGCTTTCGCGCGCGCCGATCCAATCTCCGTGTTTTTCTTCGATCTCGAACACGGCCGCGACCCCATATTGAGACGCCGCAGCCGACCCCTGCAGACTAGTTGCACCGTTACGAGCCAACTACACCCGGGTAGGATCCATTCCTGCGCGGATCGCCATCCCCGTTTCTAATATTCTCCCGGGGCGCGGCCGTTGCGGCGGCCCCGCGTGTCGTCGCCGCGATGCCCTCTCTCTTTAATATCGAATATTACGCGATAAGGCCGCGCAGCCATTCCGACCGCATCCAGACCGAGTCAATTTGCTGTTACAGATGTCACGCGGCGAGAGACACGCCTGCAGACTCTCTCTAGACCTGTTATTCTTT